TTACTCCGAGAGTTGACAAACGCCCCCAGATTTCTTCGCGATGTCATTGGATTAGATGGTTGTGACCATGTAAACGGGGTCTATGAGTGAGTTACAGTGAACCACTGTTACTGTGAAGAAAAGAAAATCCACTGAGGACTGTAAAATAAACAGTTTAAATAATATTTTAATTTATTTTTTAAATTTAAATATATATAGTTATTATTATTATTACTGTATTATTATCAGAGTTTATTCCTAGTAGAATGTTAAAAATTCTGTACCGATTCAGTCAAGCCTTCAAATAAATACATTATTATATACGCCGTAATTTCCGGACTATAAGTCGCTACTTTTTCCCACACGCTTTGAACCCTGCGGCTTAAACAATGATGCGACCAATGCCTTTTCTGGTAGGCTGTGGGTTATAAGCGCAAAGCACTGCAGACAAGCACAAAGTGAAGGGATTATATTCAGGTGCGTTCAATATTCTGGAAATTATGGTATTTTTTAATAATTTAAATAACATTCTGAATTAAAACATGTGATAAAATGTTGTTTTTTTTTCTCTCTCTGTAATTGTATATCCAAACACAAACCCCGGTGGGTCAGCAGCGCCGCTCCACCAAATCTACCTACAACACCTTTTTAACGCTGATGAGGACTTTCTTCAGTCTAATCCTATTTAAGGAACATTCTGCTGCTCACTTTGAGGAATAATCCCCGCACTTCCAGTGATGAGGCGGCAGAGGAAGACTGTTCAGCCTCCTCTCGCTCGTACATCAGCAGAAAGGAACCGGCCTTTTCATGGATTTCTTAGCTCTGGGCAAAGTTCCCAAATAGCGACAGAGTCTTCACAGCTATAAATCACATTAAAACTTTTTTTTTTCTTTCGCAGAAAAAAGATTTCGAGAAAAGTCGGTCGACAGGTTTGTCTGAAGTCGATATAAATGTACAAAATGCACATGTTTAACGCGTCGTAGTTTGAATCTTGAAGAAATGTACTCACTATTATTAATAATATAATTATTTCTCTGTCCTGTTGTATTTCACCACATTATTGTGTTTTTATACGTGTCATCTAATCTGACTTCGTAAGCAATTTTTTTTAAAGCGATCTGTAAATTTGTCTTATTTTTATTACCTCTCTCCAGGACCTTCTGGACCTTAATGTGGTTGGCACAGAAGCCGCTGTAGAGTTTGAAGTGGTCGGCGTAGTAGAGGAACGAACCCCCGAGAGAAAACAGCAGCTTCTGTGAACACAGAGGGAGGGAGAGAGAGAGAGAGGGAGGGGGAGAGAGAGAGAGCACAGAATGAATGACTGTGGGGCTACAGAGGTGAACCTGTGATGTCTGGACCCGACCCGTGTGGGTCCCGTCTTCACATGTCCTTCCCTGTCCTTCTCTCTTCCCTGTAACCTCTGGACTCTTCACTACGGTACATGACAAATGAGCCACAGTTGGATCAATAGACCCAGAGTCTGACTCAACATCAGGTCACAGCTCTAGAATATTCTAGTCATTTCTACTGGAGCTTCAACAACATCTCAACCATCATGTGTTGTGTGTGTGTGTGTGTGTGTGTGTGTGTGTTACCTTGAACTGTGAGGGCACCTCCAAAGTGCTGAAGTCAGGTGAGGAAGCGATCCTCTCTTCCAGTGTTTGTAAAAAGACCCTCTGAAAGTCCAGCATCTCTGGCAGGCTGCCAAACAGACTCTCCATCTGAGGAAGAAGAAGAAGAAGAAGAAGAGGAGGAAGAGGAGGAGGAGGAGTTTAGAATTGTGGGATGAGGATGATTGAAAAATGAATGAAAGTGTGTGAGACAAGAGATAAAAAAAAATCTTTAAAAAAAAGCCTGTGAGTTGTTATAAAAGCTCCACTGTGATGGATCCATCTCTGAGAACAGCACTCTGGGAAAAATACTAATATACTAACAGAAATACAGCAGGTGTCCTCACACACAGACACACACTCACACACAGACACACACTTGGTAGACTGCTGTACTGCTAATGCCGTCTTGTTGGACATCTAGGGTCAACAGTTCCCTTCATTAAAAGGTGTTTTAAAAATAAGGGGCGGGGGCTAAGATTCCTCCGTCTGTTCTGTGTCTGGATGAAGTCCACTGTCCCATAATGGGCTTTTAATTTACCCCACTGAGCTCCGGGGGCGATCGACCGGGGCGTCTGGGGAGAGACGTGCTGTGTTTGAGGTCATGTCTGGAACACGCTGTTGGAAACCACAACGCTAAGTGATCCTCCGTATACAGCAGTGTGTGTGTGTGTGTGTGTGTGTGTGTGTGATGGGAGTCCACTCTCCTAATGAAAAGGTTGGACTAAAAATAAGGAGACGACCTGAACAGTGGCAGGTCAAAGTCACCTGGAGCCTTAAAGATGTCCTTTATTAAAGTGTCCCTCAGAGGACACGGGGAGTGGGGTAGGTGGGGTGGGGGGGGCAAATGTTAATTTGTCCTGCAGTGGCAGATGACAGAGAGTGCAACAGCAGCACCTCTGGGTAACAGACACGCGGCTGGACGCCGCATCTGGTGCTACGTTATTTGTCGGCTGAGGCGCAAAAACCCGGAGCCGTCACTTACCTCGTCCAACGAGAGGAAGCTTTCATTGTGCAGGGGTTTCAAGTAGATGTCGAACAGAGACTCCAGGTCCTGCATCAGAAATAGAAAAGAAGGTCGGTAAAACGCAAAATGAAAAAAGAAAATAGTAAAAAAATATATATAAATATGAACCCTCTATGTGTCAGTTGTTTAACGTCTCTCTAACCATGAAATCCCGACTTATTTCCCACTTTGTAACCTCTACCTGACCCCCCCCCCCCCCCCCCCCCCTCCCCCCCCATTGACTCTTATCACTCCTTTTAGTGGGGATATTCTCATTAGGTTGATTTATGAGCTTTCTCCTCTTCCTCTTCCTCCTCCTCTGGCTACCTTTAGGCACAGATAGATGCCACGAGACGCCGTGGGAAGACAATCACCTTCTTCAATTACAAAATCAAGAGCAGGAACGGAGGAGAACGGTGCAGGAGGAAGAAGGAACCGGGAGATGGAGAGGAGAGCGCGGGTAAAAACTAAAGTATGAAATTACTAATAATGTGTATGGAGGGAGGTCATAAATGTGGCTCTCTGATGTGTGTGTCAGGGAGGAAAAGGTCATATTGGATTAACAGGGGTCAGAGAAATGATTGGCCCGGAGGATGATGACAGAATTCCCACCAGTTCTTCTGTCCCTGATGACTTTTAGAATATTCTAGAAACACATACAGATTCATTAAAAAAAAAAAAAAATCAAATTTGAAAAATGCACCTCTTTGTTGTGATATAAAGTGAATACTGAGAAGGAAGAAAAGAAAATGTGAAAACAGCGTGTCTGTGTCTCTGAGAATCTGTTAGCAGCGTTTTATTCTTCATTAAAAATACATCAACTCTAAGAAAATGTTTTTTTTTAATCTGAGACTTTGTCTATTTTCTAGGTTCAATAATGACACATTTTATTAGCCTATAAAAACCCAGAGAAATGTTTAAATATACTGTTACAGCTACGTGGACAGAATGACCCAGAATAATTTTTTTGTTTTTTTTTTCATCCTGACTTTTAAGATAAATAACTAGGTTTTTTTTTCATCCCGACTTTTAAGAGTCTCACCTTCACATAGGATTTCTCCGTGTCCACCAGCTCCTGGATGACCTTTCGTAACCTCTCGGTGGCGCTCATGTGCTTGGGGCAAGGTCTCAGCAGGGTGGCGTCCCTGGTGGGACCGGACCTCGGCCCCTCTTCCTGGCGAACGCGAGGCCCTGCGGCGTCCTCCATCAGGCCCCCTGAGCCTGAGCCTGAGCCCCGCCCTTCCTGAAAGGACTGGTACAGCGTGCACACGGTGTCCACGCTCTGCGTCAGAGAGAAAAGGGCAGTTATATTTAGAGTGGTCTGGAGTGGACGTGTAAATATAATATATATATGTATATATTCTCCTCAACGCATCAATGCTAATGATTTCAGCTCCACAGTTGTATAAAACAATGATCTGTACAGTTCTACACTGTAACATGCCCCCCCCGCCCCCCCCCCCCACCCCCCCCCCCCCCACGCCCTATCATCACGTGCTGCGTG